AAAAATTTATATATAGAACATACATATTATCTACTGAATATTTCATGTAATAATGTAGAGGGGTGCACTTGGAGATAGATGTGTATATATATAAATTTATGCATCTAGTATAGACACGTTGTTACCTGCGGTAGATTATACGTGATAGCCCTATATACAGAGATACACAGATCGCCTTAATACCCAGACTTATATAAATTACACGCACACCACCAAGCCCGGCACACATACATGTAACATATATATATAAAATATATATACACCGACGCCCAGATCGTAAAAAAACCCGGACATACGCGGTTATATGCGCATGCCATTATATCCCTCTGTATAAACGTGTGTGTATATTAGATATATCCGCACTTACGCACACCGGCTCGAACACCTGGTGTACCTACAGGCGCATTTCTGCGGACACCAGTGCTAATCCTTTCTTCGTATAGCTTTCTATAGCTTGTGCCTGCTCTCTGCCCCCTCACAGCACTACGCGCCCGCGCAAATTTAACGCGCAATAACATTGTTTTAGGTTACATCCCTCCCAAAGCCTTTCTCCCCCCTCCCCCTCCCCTTTTGATCATTTAACGAGGTGATTAAATCTAGCAGATATTAAGGTAGATTGTAATCCGCCTATGGAAACAATTTCCTTTCTCGTATTTCTTTCCGAGCTGCCCGGCCGGCGTCGGGGCCGCGTAAGCTCCGCGGGCGCGGAGCGGGGAGGGCCGCGGCGCTGCTCGGCGGGGCGAGGGCAGCTTGGGAGATTTTTATCTGGAGTCAAACTGGTTTGGCGAAACGCGGCCTTTGGGAGGGAGATTGGAAGAGATTAGAAGCGTCTCGGGGAAGTCATCGCGTTTTCACCCGGGGTGATTGCGGGGGGGAGGAAAATCAGGAGAAAATAAAGGGGGGAATGATAAGTAAGAAAAAAATTAAATAAAAAAGCACTCAGTTCCGTTTATTTTCTCCGCTTTTTACGCCCCCTGGGAGCACGCCGCCTTGGGGACACGCATCTGCCCCCCGCGGCTCCCGGGGAGCCATTATTAAGCGGTTTCTGCCCAAATTTGCCGGATTTCCCCCTTTTTCCTCAGCCTTTCTCTGCGGAGGCTCCCGCCCGGGCCGCGCTTGCGGCGCTGGGGAGAGGAGGCGGCTGGAGGCAGGGATGGGAGAGGCACAGGGCTACAAAGAGGTGCACAAAGAGCCTCTCCTCCAGGCAAAACAACAACAAAAAAAGATATTTATTTTTAAGAAATGTCATCTGCAGTCGGTACATATCATCTGGACACCACAATATTATATACACATACAAGACATTAAAAAAAAAAAAATGCTTTTACATATCCAAAGAACACTGTCGATAATTAGCCGGGTCAGAGAGGGAAAGAAACAAACCCCAAAGACAATATTGTGCATTTTCCATCTTGTCAGCGGAGAACAGACATTCCAGTTTTATGGCAGAGATATAGGAACCCTCGTGAGCACGTACCCCAAATCCTCTCGTACAGCAGCTCGCTTCCATCTGGGACCTACCATCAGTGGTTGGGCTATCGAAGCGACACCGAGCAATGGGTTTCTTCCCACAATAGCAGCCTTATTTCGTAATTTCGGTCCCTAGGGCCGAGCAAACACGAAGCTGATGCAACTTTGCCATAGGTTCTCCATACATTTATACATCGGTGGGTGAAATGGCCCGCGATATGAAGGACTGGCGAGGGGACGGACTATACAGCGTTACAGGGCGACACTTGGAGTTCGTCTCTCCTTTAATGTAGCTACACTCTTAGCTTATTATTATTATTTTCTTTTAAAAATATACACAGTTTAACCTTATCGATGGATTTCTCAGGGCAAAACTGGGGTTTTCACAGTCAGAGCGGGGCAGAGGGATAAATCAAAGATGCGCTCGGTGGTTTTGGGGGGGTGAGATGCGCGTGTGCATTTGCGAATGTCGATTATTATCTTTTTTTTTTTGGGGGGGGGGGAGGGGGGGGTGCATTTGGGAATGTCGATTATTTTTTTTTTTTTTTTTTTTTTTTTTTAAATAATGAATGGGAATCAGCAGAGTCCGAATGACGGCATCATACAAACTACCAGATAAATATTTACGCTTCTTGCTTCCTTTTCCTCGCCCCATTCTCCTCCAAAGTCATCCTCTGTCAGGTGGCGTGGAGATGCGCTGTCTTGGATTTGCTCACCACCTTCTTCTCCTTGACCCTCCGGTTCTGGAACCAGATAGTCACTTGGCGCTCGGACAGGTTGGTGGTGGCCGAAATCCTCCTCCTCTTCTCTTTGGTGATGAATTTGCTGGCCGCGTACTCCTTTTCCAACTCCTTCAGTTGGATTTTGGTGTAAGGGACTCTTTTTTTTCGTCCCCTCCGATAGCTGCTGACTTCGGGTTGTAAGGGGACCACGTCTGGATTAAAAAAAAGAATAAATAAATAAATATATATATATATATAAGGAAGAGGAGTGTTTACTGCATCCCGGGGCGTGCGGTGGGGATTTCTGCACATCGGGGAGAGAAAGAAAGGGGGGAAAAAGGAGAATAAAGAGTGGAGGAATGCGAGGGAAGAGAAAGAGAGAGGGAAAAGAGACAAGACAGGCAGAAAATGCATCCAGGGAGGGGAATAGTGCTATAATAACAGCAATAATCACATAATGTTCATAATTCACGTGGTGAAAGCCTGTTTTTCTTGGCGGCACTGTTCACGCTGATAAACAAGGAGCATCAAGTCAGCCCGCAGAGGAATGTGCGCGGATAATCAAAGGGACCCACAACCGGAGAGATTTTGGACAATGTCTAGATCTTCTCCCCTATTTCCTTCTTCCTTTTGCTTCCCCCCTACCCCCTTATTTTTGTGGTTTTTCCACCCAGCAGCAAATCTCCTGGGGGATCCCCGCAGATGCGCACCCCCAACCCCGAGCTCGGTGCAGAGTCAAGTGCATCCCCCGCGCCCCGGCCCCTCCCGCCGGCGTGGTGCAGCCCAGGACCCCCCTCGGGGGGCTTGGGGGGGGGCAAACCCAGCAAAAATAACCCCATCCACCCCC